GAAGGGAGACATCCTCCTACCAGTTTTTCTCTGAGGAGTAGAACTAAATCTCACAGAAGGCCTTACATGGCTATTCATAAAGTCCCTCAAGCATAGCTTAAATAAAAGTATGCTGGTTAATCAAGCAGCATCCCCTGCCACATCCTAGGAAGACCATCCCCTTTCACTCTTGCTCCTATTCATGTTGTGATCAGGTAAAAAATTAAAACTGTTTTATCTACTGTGCCCTTCCACCACCACAACCACCTCTGTTTTTCTTTCCCAGGTCCATCGGTACAAGGGTAATGATTGGTCCATGATGGTTAAAAGGAGCCAGTGGGTTCTACATCTGTTTCTCTGAGTTAAGACATGGCTATCAGCTGTCCAATAAATTTTTGGGGATATCACATGCATTCATGAAGTCAAATGGACTCTCAGACACCAGGTCTTACCTCCTCCATGGCTGGATGAGCTCATGTGGCATGAGGTGTGGTCAGATACTTAAATGTGATTCATGTGTGGTCCTCCTATATCTTTCAGAAAATAAAGTTTTTCACTATGAGAAAGCTGAGTGGTGGAGCAATTTTGAGTACCAACCCTGCAAATGTTCACACATGCATCTGCTGAATTCACTGCCACGTCAGTAAGGGCTTCAAAGACTGCTGGATAAGGGTCCTTGCTTCTTTGTCTCTACTGTCCAAGCAGTAACTCTATTTCAGCTATCAAACTGTAGAAACATACCTGTGACTTTACAGATTGCTAATTTCAGAGGATTCCTCTCCCATTCACTTCTGTGTCATCTGGATTTTTCCTGTGTTTATAACACACAATTCCTTTGTTCTCCTTTTCATCTCTATGCTGAAAGGCCACGCTTCCCAGACCAACCACCCCGAGCTCAGCCTTAACAGCAGGTAAGAGGTGGTCACCTCCCTGCCAGAGCTTGCTTTAGAATGAAAGGAATCTTAATTCCAGCATTGGAAATGAAGAAGATTTTGTTATTAGCTCTCAAATGTTAATAATTTAGAAAATACTGCCAAATCACTGCATTCTCTCAGTTCTCTCTGAACACAGCTGCAAACTGCATTAGGTGTTAGAGTGAATGGATATATTTCAGATGAAATATTTGTACTGAATTATTAGTGTAGTCTGTATTACAAAATTACTAATAAACATTGCTTCTGGCTCAATTTAGCCTGAACTCAGTGAACCTAACCAGTGGTGAGAAATCAAAAACTCTGAAATACCTGATGAATGAATCTAACTAATCAAGAAGCCCTCCAGGAAGTAGATGCCAGGATTAATGAGCCAGTGGTTTCACCATGCCATGCTGTTATTTCTTCACATAAATGCCCTCAGATGAGATTACCTTTGTCATGAAAAGGAGAAAAGGAAGGTTACATACTTTCAACTGACAGGTTAACTGCCATACCTCCATTACTGCAAGATACATTTTCATGTGCAGAGATTTTTATTCTGAAAAATGAAAATTTAAATACCACAACACAAATTAAACCACATTTTCATTTCTAAGAGCAGGGATCATTACTGCTAGTACAATAATATAGTCTATGTTGCAATGTTGCCTGATCCCTTGCCTTGCACAAACTTTCTTCCCTTATTAGTAATTGCTCAGTGATTGCAATCTCCAGCAGTGGGTAAGAGCAGATTCTGCCTTCCATGGGGATTTAAGCAGAGGAAGAGAGGAGAGAGAGAGTGTCAAAGCATTTCATCAAGAGAGCAAATGAAAGGTTCAGTGACATTATCTTTATGTATATTCCTTAGACATTAGGGGTGATGTTGTGTTTAGAGGAAAGTAGAATTACATGAATATGTGCCGTCATGGAAATGAATCCATACATAAGAACATAAATCTCAGTCTACTTACACACTGGGTGGAACAGCTTAAGGCTAAAATGCACCTTAACATAAGCAAATAAGCCCAGTTTGTAACAGCCCCAGCGCCTGGTGTTACCTACTTAGTCAGTAATAGGCTAATTGTTATTCAGCATAACTATTCCTTCTCAATTTGTATGGAATTCATTCATTTATTTTGATCACTTTACGTGAATGAAGCAAAGCTGTTCATGTTGTTAGATAGAACTGGTTTGTGCTGTTTAATTTTTAGCTTTTAACATCAGCAAGATTGAGACTTTATAGCAAAATAATTCAGACAAAGCGTGTAGCATATGTGAGTGAAGCCTGTGGTCTCCTTCCTTCCACCCATGTTAAACACATAAGAACATCAGCTTAGATGTTTTATGCTGCAAAGCTTCAGCAGATGCTAAGGGTACATATAATTTCAAAAATCTCCAAGACTCAGAACACAAGGATATATTGCTATGGAAACAAATCAAATTTGTATCAAAGTTGTGTAGGATCAAAAAGCTTTGCTCATAACCAGGACTACAGTTGCATAGAATATGGAGGAAATGATGGATGCTCTAAGAGCGAGCATTAAGCCGTAGGACCTTTGTAAGGTCCCTTTCACAGAGCTGCAATGTTCAGTGTCAAGAGTTGGATCTTACAGGTTGTGTCTCAATCCCCTGCCCCCAGCCAGAAAGAGCATTTTTCTCCACCATTAAAAAGCACATCTTTTTTTAAGATCTTCCATATCACACTTTACAACATTCCTACATCATAAAGCTGTCTTGCTTATAGCAATATAAAGCAGCTGTAAAAATTATGTGCTTGTAAACAACCTTCCATACATTTGGAAGAAGTAGAGTGAGATTTGCACTCTTCTACATGTAAGTGGAGACTTGTCGCCCTCCTGGCAAGCCACACTATGGGGAAGAGAGCACAGTGGAACTGGGAAGACCAAGGGACATCCCAGCTGGCTGCTACTCCCCTTGGCCCATGCAGGGTCACACCGATAGGGAAGCTGGAGGTCTTCCAACCAGCTCTGCTCCATAAGCAGCCTGTGTGCCCATGCCTTTGATGGCTGAACCAAACTGAACACAGATTTCCATCTCGGAGCCAAGCCCAGGCGTGGAGGGGCAGCTGCTCTGCCCGAGGCTGGGCTGGGGGCTAGGTGCAGGGCTGGAAGGAGAGACAACACAGTGACTTCTTTTCCCAAGTGCTACTGTGGTGTGGATTGTGGTATGGGACCTGTCTTGCCTATCCTAGACTACCTCAGGTGGAGCATCCTGGTTTGCTACAGCACCTGCAGGAGCAGACTCCTGCAGGAGGGCGTAGGGCTCTTTCTTCAGGTGACTCCCCGAGGACTCACTTGTGGTCTGGATCACCAATAATTTATTCTGCTTTTATTTCTCTTTTAAATTAAATATGCATATGTAATATGCACTTTGGAGCAGGCAAGGACCCTTCTGTGGGTGCCTATGGAGTCGTGCACTCTCAGGTGTGTAATTAAGAGGTGTGTAATTGATGTACAAGGAGAAGAGATCTTAGTGTATTGCATAAAAGGCAAGGGCGAGGGGGGAAGAAGAAAAAAAGAAGTCCAAACCTGGCTGTATGATACTTGGGAATGTATTGCATTTCTTTTTCCCACCATATCAAAGTTTGCACGGGAGTAAAGCAAGAGTTCTCTCTTTCATTGGGCTCGCCTTGCCAGCAGTGTGCCCTCATTTCACATTCCGTAAAACTGATCATCTCCCCACTGCTTGCCTGCCTGCCCCAACCTCCCGCTGACCCCCTCTCTTTCATCCCTTGCCCTGCCCTGCATCACCACAGAACTTTTTGTTACTCGCACTTTAAAGGCCAACCACACAGAAAGATTAACAAAAGTTTATTAATCATGAAGTATTAAAATTGTGACAAGTGAAAGGCATCAATGCAAAGTTAAGCAAGCAAACTATCCCCAAACTTGTGACAAAGGACTCAGTGAATACCACAGAAGGAAGTCCTGTCTATTTTTTTTTTTGCCTGCAGTTGAAGACACCTCTCATATCTCACACGCCACATCAAAATCTATAATTCTTCATATCACATACTGAAAATGATTTTATTTATCCATTCACATTAACTTGATATAAACGTGTCCGGAAAAGTCAAGTAATATGTTTTATATTAGCTCAAACATTTATTAAGTAACCCAAAATTCAATAAATAAGCACAGACAATAAGTTAAAACATATCACGAATCGACCAGTATGTAACAAGAATGCTTTATCTACACAAAACATCCTATTTCACATCGTTTGTTCATTCCTCCAGTGGCCCTGCCCTGCGGCGGGGTGACCGGCACATGCAGGCGGGCGGGCCGCGGGGCCGAGCCGGGCCGGGCCGAGCCGGGCCAGGCGGGGCGGGGGGCGCGGCGGCGCCTCCGCCGGCGCTGCGGAGGGACAATAGCAGCAGGAACGTAAATAAATGCGTAAATAAAGGTAGGGAGGATCGGCAACTCAACTGTCACAAAATCAAAGATCCGAAAAAGGGAAGCGCTCTTGCGCGCTTTTTTCTTCCCCCTTTTATCCCCTTTGTTTTTTACAAAAAGAAGCTTTTAATTTTTTTTCTTTTTTACCCCATCACATTCGCTGTCGCTCATTAATGCTTAATCAAAATGGATTTGATTCTCTCTGGGGTCTCTCCGTGCCTTTTCGCGAACCCGCCCGGCCGTCCCCGGACGGCGCCCTCGCAGCGGAAGGAGCCGGCGGCAGGTCGCCGCTCCTAAATAAACCATAAAAATCATTAAAACAGAAACAAAAATGCATTTCTTTGCAAAGCCAAAGCCGGACGGGCGGACGGCGGGAGAGCCGGGTCGTGGCGACGGAAGGAGGCCGAGCGGGGCTCGGGGCGGCCGCGCGTCCTGCCGCCGCCGGGCGGGGCGGGCCTCGGGGCACAGGGGTGCGCGGGTGATGCGCGGGGGCACAGGGGGCTTGGGGAGGGTCGGGGGTGTTTCTCGGCCCACAAACCAGTCTGTTGGTGTCTGATTTCAGATCCTGAGTCGACTCCCTGGTAAGTCGGGTGGGGGAAGGCGGGGGCGCGGGGCGAGGCGGGGGCGCGGGGCGAGGCGGCGGCGGCGGCGGCGGCGGGGGCGGGGGTGGCGCGGGGCGAGGCGCCGGCCATTAGGTGAAACTCATGGAGACTGTGTGCTCTAGTGCTTTGCGGCGGAGGGAGGCGATGCTGGTTCCCCGCCACACGTCGCTGCTGTCCGGGGAGCTGCAGAGCTGGGGAGAGCCCGTCACGTTGCTGGGGCCGGGCAGGGAGGCGGGCACCATGCCGGGGAAGGCGGGCTGGTAGAGGTGGGACTGCAGCCCGGCGCCGTTGGAGCCCGCCAGGCTGTTGGAGAGGCCCATGGAGTTGGGCGGCGGGCCGGCCGCCAGGCTGCACTGGGACAGCGACTGCGCCATGGCTTGCTGCCGTCCCAGCGCCGGCGGCAGCGGCAGCTGCGACACGCCGGGCATGGCGGCGGCGGCCCAGCGCGTGTCGTTGGCGTGGAAGGAGCACAGGCTGTCCCCCATGGCGGCGGCGGCGGCGGCGGCGGCCGAGGGGAACTGCGGCAGCCCCGGCGTCGGCAGCAGCGTGCCCGGAGCGCGGAACACGTTCGTGGTCTTCTTGCGCTTCTTCCACTTGGCGCGGCGGTTCTGGAACCAGACCTGCGGACGGCGGGCAAGCGACACGCTCCGTTAGCCACCACCACCCCCCGCAGCCGGGACCCCCGCCCCGGCTCCCGCCGCCCCTTCCAGCCTCGCCCCCGCCGGCCACGGTCGCTCTGCACACCCGCAGCCCCACGCGCGTCCCCATCACAGGTTAACGAAACCGCTGGAACTTTTTATAACGAAAGCGATCGATTTGTCCGTCCTGGGCAGGAAACTCCAGGAAAGGAACCTGGCCTGCCCACGGGGAAAAAAAAAAAAAAAACCAAACCAAAACAAAACAAAACAAAAAACCCACCAAAAAACCCCGACAGTCTACGGCTCTGGGCCTTGCGTGGACGCGCTCCCGAGCCGCCTTCGGAGCGCGGCGGGCGGAGAGCCCTGCCCCGGGCCCGGCCAGGAAACCCTCGCTCGCACCAAACCGCCCGCATTTGGGTTTAAAAAAACCCCAAAAACATAAAACCAAACCTATAATAACAAAGCCAGAGGTGGTTTAGGTGCGTGGGTGCTCGTGGTGGCACCGTGGCAGGGATGGTTTGGTGGGTCTCACCGCACCGCGGCCGAAAGCAACCGAGACAGTCGTGAGCCGGGAGAGAGCGCGTCCACCTGGAATCCGAGGGAGCGCAGTGCCCCATCCTGCCGGATTCCACCCTCTCAGGCTCCATAGGCGGACTGAGAAAGGCGGACGCCAATTAGCAGGAATGAACGGCCGTGAGGGAGCTAAATATTATATGAATAATCGAAAAATCGCGTTCAATTATGTTTTAGGGTTAATAGTCAAATTGCGGCTACAAAATCTTTTTATGTTTCATGGTTTGCTGATGGTGTAAAGAATCTCCATCCGGTCTGATCGCCTAAGTTCATAGCTACACTGCATATGCTTTTAAAATGTGAATGTTTCCAGTTGAAAACTGGTGCATGACAGATTAAAATGCAAAGAAAACCTGGGGGAGATTTTGAAAATGCACACATGACAACTCTAGAAATATATTAACCATGAGCATTTGGCAACTTTGAACTCCTTTTAAAATGCAGCTAGCCTCTGAAAATTATTAATACAACAGTGAGAATCTAATGGAGGTTGGAATCTAAAAACCTACCTTGATGATACCTGCTGTTACAGTAATATAGACATACTGTAAATGTATTTTAAAATATATAGCCCATTTAATTCCCCAGCTATAAACGGGTGAGAGAGAGTGAAAGCGATAGAAAGGGAGACAATATCACTTGTTTTTCTTCTTTTTTTAAAATGTTCTTTTCATGTCTTTTTTTTTTTCCTTTTTATTTCTTTTTTTTTTTCTTTTAAGAAGCTGAAGCTTTATGAAGATCTCATTGGAATCCAGCGGATGATTAATGTGAAGATTTGGTAGGAAATCTGGAGAGCTGTATTAAAGCTCAGATCTCAGGTTCATTTCGATCAGCCAGCCGTGAACTCTGGGCCGAATTCATTACACTTTAATAGTGCTGGGAGAGGAAGAAAATGCAATTTCTCATTCCATTAGAAAACTAGAAAATACTCTCAGCTTGTCCCCTATTAAGATGTGGCAGGTGACGGGACCATTGTGGGGGACACGGTCAATGGAATTACAGCACATTATTTTTGTTCATATAAAATATTGGAAGGCAAGCCTGACTGTGCAGAAGTTATTTCACTGATTTAGTTTTTATGTAAATAAAATATTGAAAGTTAATTAATCCGTGCTAGAGACTAATGATTATGCTTATTATATTGCATTTGATCGCGTAATTTGCATGATTCTCGCATTGCTGCTTAATAAGCCATTCCAGGTTATAAATAATTCTGAAATTGGTTTCTAATAATGGCATGCTATAAAAAGAATGGTTTTATTACAGCAGCTTGAAAAGCAGAGCAATATCAGATGTGGAATTGGACTCCCGTTTAAGCATCAGCCAGTTTAATAATTATTTAAATGTATCATATACATTAAATACAGATCTAAAATGAGGAAAGTGGTGATTTATCCTAGCATCTAAAACCCTTAAAAACATATACAGCTGCTATAAATTAAGCATTTGGAGCATTCCTAATCAGTGCGGAGCCCATGTACTGAAAGGAATGTGTAGGCTATCTGTTAACTATAAAGAAAACTGTAAAGTACTCGTATAAGAACATAAACTAATTATTATTTAATTTAAATTTGATCAAGGACTAGTGATACATCGGATTATGAAGTAAATATATTAAATATTTTTTGCCTTAGATTACATAATGTTAATCATTTTGAAGTGTTAATTAAGAAGGTTATGTTGATCTGATTACTTTTTAAATTACAGAACATTATTGTAAAAAAAAAATTTAAATTGACACTCTATTAAACTGTTTTTATCAGCAGTCTCGAGCTATTAGCATTGGTTTAAGATTATGCCAAGGCCATTAAAACACTTTGTCTTTCTTTCTACGAATTTCTTTGATGTGCTGTTAGAAAATAACTATTTCCATTTTATATTTTACTTCATTTACCACACTCCTAATATTGAAATTGGTATCATTAACCTTTGGGAAACCCAATAAAGTTTAATAGACCTCATTTTCTTTTTTTCATAGAGTCAGTTGTCCAATTATATTTTATTTGTGAATCTAATTTCTTTTTTAATTTAAACTAATTATAGTTCTGTGTAGGCTGAGTCAAATTGTTTTACTTTTTAAAAACAGACGTGCTTTTTCTGTCACATTCAAGAACGGAATCTGTTTTCCTTCATAAAACGTTCATTTAGGGATTTCTCTTCACGTGTCTTTATTTAGCTGAGGATTTTAGCTGTGCTTGCCGATAGGGATTTTTGAACAGTGACTGCGCTGAAGTGCTTCAGCAGCAGCAGCCCCGGTTCGCTGTGCTGAGCCAGGGTGCGCATCCCACAAGTGCCTCTATTGTGCAGCCTGTCATTCCTCGGCATGGACTCGCCTAGAAAGTCGCTACAATAACCTTATGCACAAAAAAGCTGCCTCTGAGCAGTCTAGCGCTTTGCACCTTCTCCCCCTTTACCAAATTTCGTTTACATTAATTTGTCTAAATAGTTTCCTACTGTCCTGTGTGCATATATATATATATATATATATATATATATATGTCTATGTATGTATATATGTCTATGTATGTATATATACGTATTTTAGAGAACAAAGTACACCCTAGATGTTGAAGTTACTCGCTACCCCCGCCGTTCCCAGGCATTATAAAAGCCAGTATGGGGAAAGTCCGAGTCCAAACACAACTGGCTTTTATCGAAGTGCCTTTTTACGAGCCGGTATGCCTTCCCTCGCACCCCACCTCGGCTCTCAGGGCGGTGGGCTTTGGCGGACGTCTCTGTCCGGCGCTGCCGCGGCCGTGTCGCCATCAGCACCCTGGACAGCGGCCCTGCCGTCGGCTACCTGGAGGGCGGCCCCGCCGCCGCCACCGGGCTCCGCTCCGGTGCAAAAGGAGTCATTCCCGGCAGGTCCGGCTCGACTCTTAGCGCCGGGCTATTGCGAGGACTGAGACCGTTCTTCTCGGGCTGTCCCTCCCCGGACTCCTTCCAGCCACGGGTCGGGCCGTGGAGCTGAGGGAAGGTCAGCCCACGCCCCGCTCGGGACCACCGCGCTGCAGGTGGGTAGGATAGAGGAAAAGGGGACACCCCAAGGTGACACTTTTGCGGAAAGGGGAGCGATGCATGTCTGATTTCAAGGCTTTCTGACCAAACTGTTGCGTTCAGGGGTGGGTTATTTACCCCGCCGTCGGGCTCAGGTTTGGGGCACCCACCCCCCTCCCCGTTGTGCCTGTCCTCGCCGCCGGCCGGCCGTGCAGCCGTCCGTGCGACTGGGGAAGGGCGGCAGGCACTGCGCGGGGGCGGCTTTTCATACCTGCACCCGGGACTCGGTGAGACCGATGCGCAGGGCCAGCTCCTCCCGCATGAAGATGTCCGGGTAGTGAGTCTTGGCGAAGCTCCTCTCCAGCTCGTTGAGCTGCGCCGGCGTGAAGCGAGTGCGGTGCCGCTTCTGCTTCTGCTGACCCTGCTGCTGCCCGGCCTGGCTGGAGTTCTGGCCGCCCTGCTGGCCTTGCTGCTTGTCAGCGTCTTTGGCGCTGACGGCTAGAGAGCTGGGGTTGGATCCCACCGTGGTGATGTCCTCTCCCGGCAGCAGGGTGGTCCCTTCCACCGTGTCCGAGTTGGGAGCCATGTCTCCCGGGTGTCCCCCCGGATCCGAGCCCCCGACGCCCAGCCGACACTTGACTGCCTCCCGGTGTCCCAGCAGCTCGGCCGCGTCTTTCATCCCTGCGGAAGCAAAGGAGCGGCAGTCACTCGGCTGCAGCTGAGCATAGATCCATCAGAGCCCCTCTCCAGCGCACTGAACTGGAGAGAGACATCCAAGCACCGCCACCGCCTCCCCCCGCCGTCCCCGGCCGGCCGCCCGCCAGACCCGCAGCCCTGCTCGGCTCCACGACTCGCAGACACCCTGGCCCGGCGCGACCCGGGCGGAGGGGAGAAAACTTTACATCGAGCAGCTCCTCTTCCTGCTGAAATAACCAGTTCCCTGCCCCGCCTTCCCTTGCAAGACCAAGGGAAGGGAAGAGGAGGAGAGCAAGTTTTCACGGGTTCAACTTGGGTTTTCCAGCGGAGCTGGTAAGAGAAAGAGATGGAGAGAAAGAAATAAGGCTCGAGCCGCCCTGTTGCCGGGAGCGTTACCTCCCCGCCAGATGCGCGGGGACCTCGGTCAGTCTGGCCGATCTTTCCCCTCTCCTCCTTCCGCTTCTCTAAACAAATTCATGAATAACCATAAATAGATAGATACAGATATTTCTCCCTTTTCTTTTTCTTTCTTTTTTTTTTTTTTCTTAAGGAAAAGGAGGGAGAAAAGCAAACGGGTGAGCAAGAAAAGGCCACACAGAACTCCGTAAACACCATCGAGCTCATCTGTCCTAAAATAATAATCATCATAATAATAATGTGTAGGTATGTATATAAAAACTGGGAAGAGAAAAATTAAATGATCCACAACTCGCTGTAGATCTACATACACCGTAGGTCGCACTTTCTTCTTTTTTATGTTAAATCAAATTAAACTTTAATACAGTACAATTACTTTTAAAGGAATTAGCCCATTTAGAACGCATTAAGGTAAAATAAGGAACAAATTGTCAATTTCCTGCCCCGGCTTCCTCCCCGCTCGCCGCCGCAGCCGGTGCAGCCGCCGTAGGGCGGGGGGGTGCCGGGGGAAACTCACCGAGACGGGCGTCCAGGAGGTCGGCGTGAGACAGCATCGCGCACCGCTCCAGGGCGAAGGCTGTTCCCCCCCAAATTTTAGCGGCCTTAAGTTATTTAAAATAGATATAAGATATGAGATATATATATATAGATATATATATATATAGATCGTCTAAATGAAAGAAAATTCGGTGTGTGGTTAAAAAGGGGGTCTCTTGCATTATAATGTCCTTTAGAGAGACGGGGAGGTGCTTAACACTTCAATGAACCCGTGAGCAGCTCGGCGCGGGGACCAATCAGGAGGGCAGCCTGCAAATGTCAGCGCCCGGAGCGCCCCGCTCCGCCCGCCCGCCGCCCGCCCGCTGCCGCCGCCCAGGCCTCCCGCCGCCCCGGCCCGGCCCGGCCCGCGCCGCGCCCGCGCTCCCTTACCCCGCTCCGCCGCCTTGCCCGCCCGCCTTCTCCTTCTCTCCTTCTCTTCCAAATGCACATTTGCCACACTCGTCCGCTCCGGGTCGCCCCTGATTTACCGGCTTTTATCGTTTTTAATGCCTCCTCGGAGCGCACCCTCTCACCGATCAGTCTCCCGGGGGTCTCGCAAGCTCAGAGCCCACCGAGGGCTGCGAGCGGGGCAGACGGGTGGAGCGGGGTCGGGCAGCGCCGGCCCCGCTGGCCGGCGGTCCCGGGAACCGGGAGCGGCAGGGGAAACTGCAGCCAGGCTTTCACCCACACAAGCCCCGACGGCTGCGGGGCGTCCAGCAAAGACAAACTTGCCCGAGTTCCCGCAGCGGGCCGTGCTGCACAGGCTCGCCCGGCCCCCGGGGCTGCCCGCTCGGTGCCGAGGCAGAGCGCAACGAGGGGCAAGGGAGCCCAGCACCATGCGTCCCGGCTGCCCGGGAGCTCTGCCTCCCTGCCCGGGATTTGAACGCCCGTAACCCCTATTTTTCGGGTAAAGTTTACAAGTTCGGCTAGCCTACAAACTCAACTTAAAGCAGTAAATAAAGTTAAATGCTTTTTATTTTCCTCTTGAATATATTAAACTACTTGAACAATTTAAAGTGCTTTGCAGGAGTGAAGCGAACCATTTCTAATGTTCTGATTTTTCAAAGCCAGCCAACAACAAAGTTTAGATTAGTAATATATTTCTAACCAGAGTAATTTTCAAGATCATTAGGCATTTATGTAATTAGTGCCAAATCTATAAGCTTTTATTACGATTATTAGAGTAAAATCAGTATAAATTTGTACTAATTTACTACTGTTTAGACTTGGCTGTCAAGCCAAGAGGTTCTTATTGTAAATGATAACTGAGGAAATTAAGTGCAAAATTCTGTACCATTTCTGATCCGCTCCTAAACAATCCGTTTCAATTGTATTTGTAGCAGAACATAATGCCCTTTTAAAGTTATTTGACTTGTATTTTTATTTGCAAAACAAGAAAAATACCCTCTACGCGGGCACAATGAAAACTGATATTTACTACTTCCAACTTGATTAACATTGATTTTTAATTCAAAAGTGATGCAATTAAGATTATTCATTTAGTGCAAATAAAGCTTCCACCAAAAAGCGAGCCCAGTGAAGTCTATGTTAAATAAAACGGAGCCAATGGCTTTTTTTTTTCCGCCATCCAATTGACTTACACGAAACACTGTAAATACTGCATGCGAACAGATGCAAGAGTGGTTTTGTTTGCAGCTCAGATGTGCAGGGGTTTCGGCAGAGACTGAAGGAGACAAAGGAACCGGCCGACCGATCTCTAGGGCAGTTTTGCTGCCTTTTTTTTTTTCCCTCCTCCCAGCTCAGGCTACATTGATTCAATTCAGCTTTCAAGACCTCGGGATGTTGCGAAGGACCTGGGTGCTCGGGAACGGCCGCTCAGAGCAGGGAGAGAGACCCAGAGCCGGGCCACAATTTAGCCGGAGACACAGAGAGAAAGAAAGCAGATGGAGGTGGGGTGGGAGTTTCGGGATTATTATTTTTCCCCGGCTGGATGGGTGACTACGGAGATAGCACATTTGCTGTGCTTTTTTCCTTTGAAAATTATTCTCTGTGTGCAGCTGTAGGGCAGGAGGGGGGAAGACCCGGCGGTGGAAACCGCTGGGAGGAGCCCCCCGGCCCGCTGCCGGACCCGCGGAGCGGAGCCGGCGGAGTCGCTGGGGAGACGCGCAGCCTTTCGTGGCCGCGGGAGCCTGGCCGTGCCCGGGCCGGGGTGAGGCGAGCGGTCAGGGGCTGGCCGGGGCGTCAGGGGCTCAGTTTTAGCTGAATGTATCGGCACAAGTGTGCGGGCGCTCGAGGTGCCTGCAGTCGGCTTCTGCCGAGCGCGCCGCGGGCAGGGTGGCAAGGCGTGCGTGTGCATCTATTCCGTGTTGTTGTATGTTTCAGGTCGATAAATAAATGTGTAATAGTTAATGTGCAGACACATCAGAGTAATAACAATGGGATGAAATCAAAGGATTATCAATCTCTGTTAGCAACTGCTGAATAACAATGTTGCGGTGTGATTGATAGCGCGCTTCATTTTATGACTTTTCTATTGCTCTTGATTTTTATAGCAGTATAAACAAACTAAATCATTTCTTCTAAGACTTCAGATCGCAATGGTCTTAAGGGAAGGGGGGAAATCAGAGAAGGAAGTCTGCGGGAGAGAAAAGAGCGGACTGGGCTGACACTTAAGCGTGTCAGAAAGAAAATGACAATGGGGCACATGTAAAATACCCTAATCACATTCCGCTTTCGCGCACTCCTGTTTTGTCAAGTGCCCGAATTCACCTGGGCAGCGTCGGAGATGTATTTACAAGGATTTTATTCCCCGTCATCTTTCCATTTTCCCAGTGTAGCCAGAAAACTGCCAGTCAGCTCCATTCCCTGTTACAATTTACGGTATTCCCCACATGATCATAGGAACTGAAGTTCCTAACAAGGAAAGGCTTTAGCACAATGGCCAAAAATCTTCAGAGTGACACGAGTGTCTTCAGAAATCACTTCAGAGCAAAGTAAAAGGATTTTCTATGACGGATCCAGTGATTTTTCCTCAATAAATAGGTTTTAGATTGTTACACACACGTAGAACTGGAACAAAGGGCAGTACCAGAAAATATATTGGTTGCCCCTAATAAAATTTATTTAGACAGTTTATTTCTCATAAAAAATAGAGATTGAATTTCGTACAGAAGCGCCTGCCAAGAGGCCAGGCACTGGGAGATCATCTCCCCCCGCACCTTCCTTTGCCTTTCTTTCCTTTTCCATCCCATCCCTTCCTTTCCCTGCCCTGCCCGGCGGAGCCCGGCGGGCCCGATCCCGGGGTCCCGGCCGGGGCCGGCTCTGCCCTCCCCTGCAGGGCCCCCCCGCCCACGCCAGCCGATCCGCCCGAGCGAGGGCCGCGGGAGCGGGGCGTGCCGCGTCTGGGAGTAATATAACCCTAATTCTCCAGCGCTGTGACCCTGGTAAGAAAGGGTAGAGAACTTTCCAAACCCCAGAGCTCCCCCTCTCCCCTCCCCGCTAAACTCGAGCCCTGATTGAATGAGGCTGTAATATAAACAAGTGTATTTAACCAATTCTGCTCTGATTTAGAAACAGAACCTTCTTTTATCAGAATAATTATATTTGGACAGAGAAACACAGTAAAATAAGGTTAAACTGCTAAAGTCAGCAGGGTGGCTTGGCATAAATGGCTGATAAGATTTGTAATTTGATATTTTATTTATGTATTTCTTGAGCATCCATCCAGTTAAGCCGGCTGCTGTATGCAGAGCACCGTAATTGGTTTTTACACCCAACAATGCTCACAGCGTTTACCAAATGCAACTTTTGGTTGTTGGCTTGTTCGTGCGGCTTTTTTTTTTTAATATTTTTTTCTTTTTATTTCCAGACAGTAGTGCTGAAATATCGGATATTATTATTCACATTCCCGCTGTTCAGTGCTGCATTGTAACATTGTTCGCTTTAATGAGAAGCGCCTCCCTCAATAATTAACGACCTCACATTCCCCTATTTTCTTGCCTGATGAAAAGAATCAATTTTAATTCATTGTAAATTACAGCTATGCTTTTGAGTGTTATTTGCTTACTTTTCCACATCGACATACCCTAAACACAAATGACAAATCAAACTATATCCTTTCGTTAGGGGTAATTTGGAGTTAAGAAATGGAAAAGCATAAACACGTGTTTTCATTTCAATCAACTCTCTCGAAAATATGACTTCTTTGGAAACGAAGGACAAGGCTGCCAGCAGCTACAGATCCCAATTTATACATTCTAGTCAGAGCTAAACGTGACGATCATCGCCGCTTTACGACACTAGGCTGCATGTAGCATTTTGTCGCCGCTATAAATACACTTCTTTGAAAGCAACTTTATGAAGTTTAAAGGCATCCGAGGCAAGAACGCTCGCAGCTGATCAGAAACGAAGCCGTCAGGTGTCCCGAAACAGCCTCCCCAAGGTCGGCGGGGAGAGCTCGGGCCACCTGACACCTCTCCTCTAACTCTGTTAAGAACAGCATTTTACCATTTTCTTATTCATGTAAATATCTGTATCCGGCTACAGAGGAGCCAAAGGCAGCGCCTGCCGTGTCTCCTCGCGGGCAGGCTGCGGGCAATCTCCCGACAGTGAAGCGGTTACTTCAGATTGAAAGGATGGCTTCTATCAATTAATTTTAATCAGAGCGATGACAACCAGTCTTTTATGGGGAAAAAGCTATTTTAATATAAAGGAATGCCTGACGCCCCTGCCCGCTCTTACTCGACCAGATGCAAACTCTTTACACACAGAAGTCACCTCCCCCTCTCCATCCAGCTTCGTACGCATGCATATATTATGTATATGTTGGCTTTTGACATAATATTAAGTTCATAAACTTAAAATTGCGGAGCCGAAGCGTAACACACTGTGCTGTAGCTTTTGCAGTTGAACAGAATTATTGGGGCTGCTCCGAAAGGTAAAGGGAATGCTGGTATAAATAATTTTTCAGATACGTCCCAGTTTAGGCAAACAGCACACTTCTGGGGAGACTTTTACTACTGAACCTTGAGGAATTTTTTTAACATATACCTGTATTTTTAAAATCCCCATCCGCCAGGTGTAGCAATGACAAAATATACACCAGAGGC